TTTGGAATAATAACAAGTTTTTAATATTCAGAAAAAATGTCAAATTAGTATATGAAGAAGAAGCGTATAAATTTCACTGTTTTGGTCATATCTCCGGAACCAAATGTCCGATTAAATCCAATAGGATTCCATGAGAGCCAGATACGAACGAACTGAAACCGGTTGCACACAAATCGGTCCTGTAGAGCTGAAAAATGGATTTGGCATTTGAACCTCCATAGGTCTGAGACCGGAAATTTGGTTTAAGGTGATACTATTGCCCTTCGGTACACCAGTAGGTGTACGAGAAAGGCAAACAGTCCATTCTTCATGTAGCATCTCTATACTGCCCTTCCTTCCCCCCGCACACCAAACATGAGCCTACTCCAGCTACTGGTCCCATCAGTGCAGTGCACAGTGGTTTAAAAGCGCTAAAACGTGCGTTATTATTTACGCGAAAACGGACTATTTTAGACATACGGTTCCTTTGGAGATGCTCGTTTTCGCAATGGTCTAGATAATATTAAAACAAACATTTTAGTATAATAAGCATATCGTTAGAGAAAACTTCTGAAAACTTATGTTTTTTTTTTCAATATGAATTTGGTAGCACTTTAGTTCTTCTTTCAAAAGCAATTAGTTTGGTTTGCCCAACTGTGAGTTGTTCGTCTTTGAAAAAGAATCATGAATAACTCATAAAATATAAAAGACAGAAACTTACTTTGAGAGACAAAATAGCGTATCTTTATAATACTAAATAGTTTGTAGAACATGTCGATGACGGGAAATTGCTACCAGAAAAGTTATGGACAAAACAATGATTTTTAATAGTCTCCACACAAAAACCTTCATATCTCAAAAACTGTAGGAGATAGAGAATTGATGTCTGGTACAAAAATGCTTGTTTTAATATTATCTAAAACTTTGCCAAATGCACAATTTTACTATCTTGACTTTCAAATAAAATGTTTATCCACCTCCCTGCTGGGTGGATTAATCATAATAAACTTAAGTTCAAAAGAACGAGCTAATGATGTACACAAACTTCGCACGTTTTAGTCGCTTTTAAACCACTGTGCAGAGGTAGCGCCTTTGGTAGCTAAAACTGTCATCCCATGCGTCCTCTCCTTCGCTAAATACGCACATCAATGATGACGATAACATGATCCGGCGGCAGTCGGTCGGTCGGCCGGTTGATTGGTCGGTGGGTGGATGAGGATTCTTTTGATCCTGTCAAGTCATGCAGCATCATACCGCGCCGTGTTGACTTTACCACGGGACCACCGACCGGCAGCGCTGCTGTTGGCCTAAGCGATACCTACTGACTGACTGCCTTGGTGCCTTGGTGAGTAAACCGAAAATCTCGCTCGCTCGATAGGAGGGCGGAAGTGGCGACGGACGACGCACGGGAGTGATGGCTAATTGGAATTCTGTCGGTTGTTGATTCATTGACGTTTTGGCTCGGAGATGGTCGGAGGCGGTTTCATCTGTTGCGTGCGGGTGTTTTGAGGAACCGTGGTCGCGTGGGTGACTTCTCAATTTTTGGAACTAGACTGCTAGTAGGTGATATAAACGTTTTCCGCATCATTTTTGATTGTTTACTTTGCTTAGACAGGATACACTCAACGTTCACTGTTTAATAGATATCGAATTTTATCTAGATTCAAGTTCAACCTGGAACTGGTGTCAAGATAAGGTTTGCTTGCTTTCTACCCATGATTTTGATGGTTTGTTTTTGTTATGGTTTAAAACTGGGTTGAACCAGAATTTAAAACAAATAAATCTAAATGGATGGATATTATAAATTTACCTCTTCTTGTAACTTTCAAGTACAAAATATCATTATAGCATTCAATAAATCCATAATTCCGACAAATATTTTTTATAACGAAGTAAGTCAAAGAAACTCGGGTTTTGGTATATACCTATATTAGGGTGGGTCACCGTTATGATGATGCTGCATGGTAATGGTTGTAGCAGGGAAGCTAAGTCCGAAAGCAGTGGGTTCTCTTCCCTGTTTGTCTTGATCAAGCTGAATAACCTCTGATCGTCCTCAACACGAAGGTCCAAAACAGATTGGGTGGATCGATATAAGTCACCTATTAATTAATTAGTTGTACACTCAAAAGATTCTCATATCTAAATAGATTAAAAGTTACGTTAAATCACATCTCTCCTGACCGACGCATAGCCCGATATAAAGAGAAAGAATACAAACTTAGTTTTAAAATTGCTTATTCCGTCAAATGTTTAAATTCGAGTATACAAATCAAAGTTGCAAATACTCATGTCAGCTAAAATAATGTTTTTCGGAATAATAAAACCAAAAGATGGTATGTTTTCCTTGTAACTTACAAGAAGAGGTTACAAAGTATGCGTTTGAAATATAAAACCTGTAAATTTTGCTTTCTATGAGTCACAATCAGCCATTTGCTGATCGCTGAGTGAGTGAGTGAGTGAGTGAGTTTGTGAAAAATCGCTGATTGTGACTCTCATGAAGTGAAATAAACAGTTTTAATATGTCAAACACATTCTTTGCAACCTCTTCTTGTATCCTACTAATTCAAAATTTGATCATGGCATCTAATTATTTCATAAATTAGAAAAACATTGTTTTAGCTGAAATGAGTCTTTGCAACCTTGATACAAATCATGTTTAAAGGGAATTTATTTCGGGAATAGCATTTTTTGTTGTTCCGTCGTGCTTCTTAATTCTTAACATTTATTTCGACAACAAATTAGTGCCAAACACCCATTTTTTTTTTTTTTAGTTATAAAAACCACCTGTGCTGAAAATATAATGGTGATGTACCATAGTTGTTGAAGTTCCACCACCTAGCTTGGCCTCGTATGTTATTAAGCAGCATTAGTCACAGACCAGTGCCCCAATCACCTCCTCCTCCAAGTGTGGAATATTAATCACCTATTGATGAAAGAATCCAAAAGTTTAGTGGATTTCTCCTGAATGTTTCTTCCTTTTCGAAGAAATCGATGTTCTTAAGCAGGAAGTGCAATACATTTCACTACGGCAGGAGGTGTATTTGATGCCATTGACGTCTTGCTTCTTAAAGCTGGAATTTGATGGTAGGAATGTGGAATACAATATTCAATCTGTAGGCAACAATCCAGCTGACTGGTTCAATACACCAAGCAAACATTATCTCACCTCAAATATGAATGAACCGAAGTACCGACATTTTTTTTAGCAGGATATCTTTTATGATCTTGGTTCACTTTAACAGACGAGACCAACTTGAGAGGGTAAATAAAGTAAAAAATGCACATCAGGAAACATTTAAATTATACACTCAACGAATTTCGTTCAGTTATTCGAACTTAGTATAATCAACAATCAATACGAAACTAACGATTTTAAATTGGCTCACTACTTGACTAGCCTATTGGTCCCAAGCAAACGATTAACGTATCCCATTCTAGTACTACGCTATGTTTGTTTTGATTCGCTATGAAAGTTTGACAGATAAAATGAGGGGTTATTGGTTTTTCCTATGTTTCGAGGGGTGAATCGATTAGCTTGGGACCGAAGATAGTATCAGAGCTGAGCCAAAAAGTTGAGCACGTTATTTCGGGACCTTCTAGTCTTAGAGTTACCTCTATGGTATAATCATAGAGGTAACTCAAAGACCAGAAGGTCCCGAAGAAACGAGCTCAACTTTTTGGCTCAGCTCTGGTACTATCTTCGGTCCCAAGCTAATCGATGCACCCCTCGAAACAAAGGAAAATCCACGAACCCCTTATTTTATCTGTCAAACTTTAGCGAATCAAAACAAACATAGTGTAGTACTAGAATTTCAACTCAGTTGAAGATTAGATCTCATTGCCGATAGACGTTTGTTCGATCGCTGCGTTGTTTTTTTTTTTTGTTGCTTTTGATAGCTATTGACCAATGCACGGAATGAACTCACGAAAAAATTTGACTTATGAGCGGTGCCGTGTTTACTAAAAATTAACACATGACGCAATGCTCGCGTAACTTTAGAAAAGGTCCTATCAACTTTTATAAACAACTTGATAGGCCCTTTTCTCGCGAACCGAAGAACACTCACGCAAACCAGACCACTATCGGGAAGGAGAGAATTTACCCTACCCGATGGTGTTGTTGGTTTGTATGGGCGTACTTCGGTTCGCGGGAAAAATGCCTAACAAGTTTTGTGTACATAAGTTGATAGGCCATTTTAAAATGTTACGCGAGTATTATTCATGTGCTCATTTTTAGTAAACACGGCACCGCTCAAACGTCAAATTTGTTCATGCAGTTCATTCCGTGCATTGGTCAATACAGTACGGTGAAATGTCGAGTGTAGTAGCCGTCACGAATACCATTGCTTTCATATTTCCGAATAATGCTGCCCAGCCAACTCTACCGGAGATGGTCCGCTTCGTGAAAGGCCTCACCGGTGATCAGGGAAAAATGGACACGGCGTATAAGAATGCTGAGGAGAGGACGGTATTCATTAAATACAAGTCCGAGGAAGGCATGAGGGAAGCCCTCTCTTGTAACGATGAAAGGCAAACGTTCCATTATTATAATGGAACACAAGTGGAGGTTTGCATGTCGGTAGCGGGTTGTAACATCCAATACGTACGGGTATTTGACCTACCGCCGGAGGTATCCGATCGTGATCTTGTTGCTGAACTAATCAAATTTGGGAAGATTAAGCGCTGTGTGCGGGAAAAGTATCCACCCGGATATCAACTGGATTTGTTGACTGGTGTCCGCGGAATTTACATGGATGTGGAGAAAGAAATTCCACCAGCGCTCTACTTCCTTAGCAGAAGAGGAATAATTTTCTACAGTGGAAATAAATTGAAATGCTTTGCCTGTGGACAAGAGGGACATCAAAAAAAGTCTTGCGGAAGGAGGAACGTAAAAATAACAAGAGACACAGGAGCAGGTGTCGAAAAAAAAAGAAGACGGGAAAAACACATTCGCTGCCGTTCTCGTAGGAACGAGTTCGTCAGACAATGTCGAGAAGCAGGCAATAGATTTGGAAATAGAGATGCTAGAGGAGGAAGAAGAAGAAGAAGAAATCGGTACAACACTGGAAGCTGAATTGGATCACGGAAAACAGCAGAACAATCAACACAACCAGCAGCAGCAGAAGCACCGGTATTACACTATCAACCGCAAAAGCAGCAGAAGATTGGAAACTGGACTGAGCACGTTCAACTGCATAAAAAGCTGCTGAAGCAACAACAGAAACAACAGAAGTATGCCAATGATAGTTCACCGGCAAGGAAGACCTTACGTCCCAGCTCTTCACGTTCGGGCACCGGATCAGATTAGTTTTAATAATTCAAATGAATTGTAATTATTCATTCTCTTGACTCTTGGCTCCGTAGAGTTTTAATTAACAGTTGAGCCTTACAAATAAATTAAATGGATAAAAAAAATTGAATTTCGACTAGAATGGGGTATGTTAATCGATTTGCTTGGGATCAATAGGCTAGTCAAGTAGTGAGCCAATTTTAAATCGATAGTTTCGTATTGATTGTTGGTATAATTTTGAAGTGAAATATAGTCAGATTGATGTATAAACATTAAGTAACCGAAAAACAATTAAATTGTAATGTACCGTTGTCTAGAAATATGTTTGTGTGTAAGGCTTCAAAAAATGGCAAATTTCACCACAATTGGCGTTGACGGCGACTCTGTACCTCTTTACTCCTATGGTAAAATCCATAAGCAAACGTCAGACTGTGCGTGAAACATGGCGGACTTCGTTCTATCCTTTCCAGGCCAGTGACAAGGCCTATACCAACAGCAGCGTTTGACGGTAGGCAGCATCCCAACAAACAATTTTAGCTGCAGACTAGCTTATACAGGCAAAAATTAGCTGTATAAGCCAATTTTTGGCTGTATAAGCTAATCTGCAGCTAAAATTGTTAGTTGGGATGTCCCGGGCTCAAAACTGCTGTGCTGGGCCCGCTGTCACGATATGACATGTTGCCTACGCGCCTGCCACTGGGCTGATCCTTTCACTCCAACGAAAAATCCCATAGAGATTTCTGACGTTTATCGTACGCACACTATGTCACTTATACGTATACGCAAAATGTTTTCTTCGGGAAATAAGAACTTCATAGCGGAAAATTTTCCCGATGAAAACAAATCACTGACACAATCACACTTTAGCAATCTCTATAAGAAACTGTCAATCTTTTCTAGAAGAGACGATTTTTCGACGGTGCCGTGACCATGCTTGGCATTCACAGTTGTACACACCAACTGCTCCTTTGGTAATAACTTTTCATTCAGATGTTGAAATTTATTTTTCTTTAAAGTAATTGATAGATTAGGCTCATAGTTTACTATAGACATGCGAAGATTAGGTAAAGCTTAACATTTGAATCAACACTAATCAACTTAATACTTAAATTCCGAGATGTGCAGTGAGCATTACTCACCTCATTTTTATAACGCAAAAGCAAATACAGTTTACTACTAGCATAAAAATCTACTCTTTTTTAGTATCTATAACAAGCTTACACTCTATTCTATCTACTGCTTCAAAAAGAACTATATTCCGTCAACTATGTGCAAAGTTATTAGCAGTTTGTGACCAAAACTGTGTATGCCAAGCATGCCGTGAACGCCAATGGCGAAACTCTATTATTTAAACAATGCTGACAGTGTTTTGAAATTAAAATTAAGTGAAACAGCATTTGAAATGAGGGTCAAAGTTTTACCGAACGTAACATTTTACCGATGCCAGCAATAATTTCTAAGTGCGTAGTGATCATCTGCACGGAATTCACGTCCATCGCTTTCACGAAACTTGCAATTTCATCCGTGGATGGCCTCTCCGAGCCTTGTACGAGACTGAACATAATCGTCAGCTTTATTTGCTTGCTTTCAACGGGGTAACGGCAAAAGCGAACGAACTTCAAACAATGAGCAAGCACCGCCACAATGAGTCGCTATCGCAAAACAGACTATCGCGTGACTCGTACCGAAAAAAATACGTAGCTACTTGTGTCGACAGCTAAGGTTAAAGAGATTTTCAAAGACCGAATAGACTTCTCTAACATTTGTGAAATGCACAATTCTAGATAGAGCTGGAATTAGGGCGTAACAGCTTTTGTAAACAATGGCTTCTATCGATTTTTTTTTTTTTTTTTTTTTTTAACTCTTTATTTGTTCCAAATTTAAAATAAATTACATTTCATTTTAACCTAGGTGCTCCAGTTACTGCAGTAACGTACCAGCCTTAATTGTTATGATATATATCTAAGTGTTTTTACATTGTTCATGTCTTGGCAATTCAGTATTTTAAACAGGTTTTTTAACCTGCATGTCAGTATAACAATTGATATCTTAAAACTAAAAACTAAAACTAAATCTTATCTAAGTATAAAGGGAATTAATCGTTGCAATTGAGGATTGCAACGATTTTTGCCTGAAATTATTAATTATTTTGTTGGACATTTGTGCTAAAGTCTCAACATTCGAAATTCTATGTACTTCGGTTGTACTGTACCAGGGAGGCAACTTCAAAATCATTTTCAGAATTTTGTTCTGAATCCTTTGAAGTGCTTTTTTCCTGGTAGTGCAGCAACTAGACCATATTGGTACAGCGTAAAGCATGGCCGGTCTAAAAACTTGTTTAAATATTAGAAGTTTATTCGTCAGGCAAAGTTTGGATTTCCTGTTAATAAGAGGATACAAACATTTTATATATTTGTTACATTTGGCTTGAATGCCCTCAATGTGATCTTTAAAAGTTAATTTTTGGTCAAGTATTAATCCAAGATATTTCACTTGGTTTGACCAGGAAATTGGAACTCCGTTCATAGTGACTATGTGACTACTACTAGGTTTCAAAAACGAAGCTCTAGGCTTATGTGGAAATATTATAAGTTGAGTTTTGGAAGCGTTGGGAGAAATCTTCCATTTTTGTAAATAAGAAGAGAAAATATCTAAACTTTTCTGAAGTCTGCTGCAAATAACACGAAGACTTCTTCCTTTAGCGGAAATGCCTGTGTCATCAGCGAACAAAGATTTGTGGCAACCCTGAGGCAAATCAGGGAGGTCCGAAGTGAAAATGTTATACAATATAGGCCCAAGAATGCTACCCTGAGGAACTCCTGCCCTAACAGGTAGTCGATTAGATTTGGAATTTTGATAATTTACTTGAAGAGTTCTGTCAGTTAAATAATTTTGAACTAATTTCATAATATAAAGTGGAAAATTAAACTTTTTCAATTTAGCAATCAAACCTTCATGCCAAACACTGTCGAATGCTTTTTCTATGTCTAGAAGAGCAACTCCAGTTGAGTGGCCTTCAGATTTGTTTGAACGAATTAAATTGTTAACTCTTAAGAGTTGATGAGTAGTTGAATGCCCATGGCGAAATCCAAACTGCTCATCTGCAAAAATTGAGTTCGTATTGATGTGAAGCATCATTCTATTCAAAATTATCTTTTCAAAAAGTTTACTTATTGAAGAAAGCAAACTTATTGGACGGTAGCTAGAAGCTTCAGCTGGATTTTTATCCGGCTTCAAAATTGGAACAACTTTTGCATTTTTCCATTTATCAGGAAAGTATGCCAAATGGAAACATCTGTTAAATAATTTTACCAAGAAAGACAAGGTACTCTCTGGGAGTTTTTTGATGAGGATATAGAAAATTCCATCATCACCTGAAGCTTTCATATTTTGAAAATTTTTAGTTATAGACCTTACTTCGTCCAAATCAGTCCCCCAGGAATCATCAAAAATATTTTCCCGAGAGAAAATATTCAGAAAATCCCGAGCAACCTGATTCTCAATAGGACTAGTAAGACCCAAACTGAAATTATGGGAACTCTCGAATTGCTTAGCAAGTTTCTGAGCTTTTTCCAAATTTGTGATCAAAATTTTACCACCTTCTTTAAGCGCTGGAATAGGCTTTTGAGGTTTTTTCAAAATTTTTGTGAGTTTCCAAAAGGGTTTGGAACTCGGGTCTAATTTAGAAATATTATTTTCAAAAGTTTTGTTCCTCAGGGCAGAGAATCGCTTTTTAATTTGTTTTTGCAAATCCCGCCAGATAACTTTCATGGCAGGATCGCGTGTTCTTTGAAATTGTCTCCTACGGACATTTTTAAGACGGATCAAGAGCTGAAGATCATCGTCTATTATAATTGAATCGAATTTAACCTCGCATTTTGGTACTGAGGCAGCTCTTGCTTCAACTATAGAAGTAGTCAGAGATTCAAGAGCATAATTAATTTCATATTTGGTTTGCAAAGGAATGTTTGGATCGAAGTTATATTCCATAAATGTTCGATACTGCTCCCAATCAGCTCTATGGTAATTGAAAGTAGAGCTGTTGGGATTACAAATTATTTCTTGGGATATTTCAAAAGTTACTGGAAGGTGATCAGAACCGAAGTCAGCATGGGTAACCAATTGGCTACAAAGTTGACATGAATCAGTTAAGACCAAATCAATAGTGGAGGGATTTCTTGCAGAAGAAAAGCATGTTGGGCTGTTTGGATATTGAATAGTGTAATAACCTGCAGAACAATCATCAAACAGAATATTACCATTGGAATTGCTTTGAGCATTATTCCATGAGCGGTGTTTTGCATTAAAATCACCAATAATGAAGAATTTAGACCTATGACGGGTAAGTTTCTGGAGGTCACCCTTGAGAAAATTCTTTTGCTGGCCTACGCATTGGAATGGCAAATAGGCAGCTATAAACGTAAGTTGTCCAAATTTTGTTTCAACAGAAACCCCCAAAGTTTCAAAAACTTTGGTTTCAAATGAAGAAAGAATTTTATGTTTGATTCGTCTATGAATAATGATGGCAACGCCACCACAGGGTCCATCAAGACGATCATTTCTATAAATCAAGTAATTTGCGTCCTTCTTAACCTTATGGGCAGGTTTAAGGAACGTTTCAGTTATAACGGCAATATGCACGTTATGAACTCTTAAAAAGTTAAATAGCTCGTCTTCATTATCTTTAAGAGATCGAGCATTCCAATTTACAATATTTAATGCTTTAAAATCCATTACTGAATTTTAAAGTCATGACAATATTATTTGCAAATTTTACTCCAGTTTGAATAGCATCAAACATGGAGTTAGATTTAAGCATATCAGAAATCATGTCAATTAAT